TTAGCTGTATGGTAATACAGATTCACATTAACCACACGTGAAAAGATTGCCAAAGTTATCTTCACGCTTGTGATTTTCGAAAACATGATAGTTCATTAAATTTCAATGGCAACAACAACATTTAGGTTTTACAACATTGAAACACATGTGCACGAAAAAACATTCATGACACTATCAAATAGGATAAAAGCAATGTGACAGTGCCCTACGAGAATGAAGAAATGTCCGCCTAGGAGTACTACAAAGTGATGAAGACACACACTTGAGCAAAAAGAACAGTTAGATCTCTATCATAAATAAAATATAAGGTTTTGAAGCTAATTTCAGATCTTACCTGGAAAAATGAAACCACCGAATGCCAAAAGTTCTGCTCAAGCTTAGGTTAAGCCAACAGATGGCATGTGCTCGACAGGATCTCATTTACCAGACCTATAGTTCACCCCCTTTATAACTTTTATCAAGCTCCTCCTACATTACGCCTAAAATCATTCTCCATTCACGGATATCACAGCTCCTCCCTTGTGGTGTATATTCCACTGTCAGTCAGTGACTGTACAACAATTGTTGTGCAATTCCCACGCTCACATTCTACAGGTTCAATTAAGCTGGTCCCAGCTAATCGGCCAAGTCACCCTCCAGTCTACTTCACCTGTCATCACAATAAAATCCGACTTTGTCAATTCTTCTGCAACACTTTCCGCTCACTGTGTCAATAGTGACCGTCGGACCGGCACTCCAGTTTAGGGTAACCTCAGGGGGGAGATAATGACAATTAAGCCCTTGTTAATCTGTTCCTGAAGATCTGGCAAGGGGAATAAAATATCTGACACCAACAAATGGTGTGCAAATCTCTAGTCAGTAAGTCTGCTTGGTCAGTCTTATCTCTGTACCTTAACACTTAACATCTGGGAAAAGTTGTAGTGTTTGGATGATATGACCAACGGTCAGGATGAATTAAAGGTGTGATGTGGTCATCCTATTTAGATTAAGGATGTCATCCAAATCCCTATTTGTCTGTATACTTCTAAATAACACAAAAAAAAGTTTCGTTGAGGAAAGACATTCTGGAGTCAACCGAGCGTTAATTGTCACAGAATGTATGTATGTGTATGTATGTATTTATGTATGTATATGTATGTATGTATGTATGTATGTATGTATGTATTGTATGTATTTATGTATGTATGTATGTATATATGTATATGTATGTATTGTATGTATGTAATGTATGTATGTATGTATGTATGTATGTATGTAATGTATGTATGTATGTATCGTATGTATGTATGTATGTATGTATGTATGTATGTATGTATGTATTGTATTTATGTATGTATGTATGTATGTATGTATGTATGTATGTATGTATGTATGTTATGTCATGTATGTATGTATGTATGTATGTATGTATGTATGTATGTATGTATGTATGTATTGTATGTATGTAATGTATGTATGTATGTATGTACTGTCATGTATGGAGTATGTATGTATGTATATGTATGTATGTCTGTATGTTATGTCTGTCTGTTTGTCTGTATGTCTGTATGTATGTATGTATGTACTGTATGTCTGTATGTCATTATTGTATGTTATGTATGTCATGTTGTATGTCTGTATGTATGTTATGTAATGTATGTATGTATGTATGTATGTATGTATGTATGTATGTGTGTGTGAATTCCCTGGGTTTGTGTGTGTGTGTGTGGGTGATTGTGTGTGCGCGTGCCTATGCATTTTTTTCACCCATGCTTTCGTTTTTGACTCGATATTCATAACATGCCTATTATTGCTTAGAATAACATGCTTTATTGATAAAATACAACTTTTGTGTAAAAGATAGGTGTTTGGAAGGGCCGAATGTAGGACGGTCCTGCGCGCCTAATTTGTAACCCTTTGAAAAAAAAGTTGATGTGTTATTTCTTGCCTTCTCCTGTCTGCTTCTCTTACTTTCTTCTCCTGCCTTTTTTCTGCTCTTTCTTCTTTCTCCACTTTCTTTTTTCTTCTCTTTCTTCTTTCTCTTTTTTCTTTTTTCTCCAATTTCTTTTTTCTCCTCTTTCTTTTTTCTTCTAATAAAATATAAATTCCGAATAAAATCAAAGGCATAGACAACCATTTGCCAAACCTCACGTCAAGATTGTAAAAAAAAAAAAAAACAACCAAACTGTGAGTTGAAAGCACAAAAGCATGTTTATTTAAAAAGTAATAGAAAAGAACTAATCTTGGTGTATCAATGTATTTCCTTCAATGAATGTTAATTGATACGTAAATGCATGACGTTATATGTTGTAATATTGATTTGTAGCAATGAGGGGCAGGACAATGACGATAGTAACGCATCTATCTATCTTCTGTTACCCCACAGGACATCAGTCAAGCGATAAACACCCGATGACACAAAGTGCCACCATGTGGATGAGGATCACCCGTGGAGGGGTCCCAGAAACCGCGTTCAGCCATTAGACCATATTTATGGCCGGGCTATATTGCGGCCCCTGCAATAGCCAGAGAAGGGCTTCAAAAAACCAAAAAAATGCATTCCACAAGGGGATCTGGTAATCTGGTAATCCTAGTTTCAGCATCATAGCAAACGGGTCACCCCATTGTTGCTCCGCTCCTGTGCCAACGAAAAAAACACTCGTAGCTCACAGTGTCACACCATGCACTCAACTCAGAAGCTGGGTAACGAAACTATATCCTTCCAGTCTACAAATGGAGCAAAAAAAGAAAAAAATGCAACGGCCACCGCCTGGCAGAACTGGCCACCTGTCCATGCTTTTTCCCGCAATCATTAGTGCTGTGCTTGCCAGTTGGTCATCCCCACAAGGGGATGACAGGATATAGTAACGCATAGTGACGTACAATGATAATGAGAATATAATTTGTTAGAAAATTGACGGTACACAAATTGATTGAATGTATATACATTGACACGTTTTTAAATTATGTACACGTAATGAATTGTTGTTCTTGTTGTCGAAATTGTGTATATATAAGGAAATCGCTAATTACATTTGTAATTAGAGATACAGTTATGTCATAGTAACAAAAACAAAAAACAAAAACACACAAAAAAAAAAGGGGGGGGGGGGGGTTTAAAAATTGTAAAGGTAAAAATGGGTAAGGGAAATGACTTTAATGGTAATTGGTTCAGAGCTCCTATTTAGGAAGGAATGATGATCCAACTGAAACTGACACAGTTTAGTGTTCAGTGGGTGCAGATTCACATTACCGATTAATAGCCATTATGGACTTTCGCAAACCGAATTTTAGGATGCCTTGAGGTGATGTTCTGTCAAGGCAAGTTGTGTTTTTTTGGGGGGGGGGGGGGGGGGGGTGGGAGGGGGGTTGCAGAGCCTTTATGGTCTTCCACACTAATTTTTGAGTGTCTTTGGGTGTTGATTCCATTAAAGTATACTGTATCCACTGAGCACAACGACTGAGGACGTTCCAAGTGGAAAACATGATCAACCTAAAGGGTGAGCAAAAGCTTTTGCCAAAGATGAAAGTAAAAATAAAAATTATTACATTAAATTAACTTATGACCGCTAAAAGATATCGAAAAGAAGAAAAACATTTATTTAATAATTTTTTGCATGGGTGGGACAGATTATGCAATGTTGGTATTTTTTCACAGGGATTGTCTAAATAACAATATAGGAGTAAACATGAGAAAAAAAGAGAGAATTACATTACTCGCAAAAACACGAAATATGTAAACAGGGTTCAAATAAAAACTTTTTGGGGTTTTGAGCAACTGATCAACATCATGGCCCACGGGTGTTACCCATAAGTGCTCACTTTCTTCTTTATACTCAAGTCTGAGTCCGAAGAAGCTCAACACAGTGCACAGCGGGGAGGACTGAAATTACTTGAGTAGATTTTTAACTCCAGCGCCGTTAGGCTACTCTTTTCGATTTCTAATCTGCGAAGATATTTTTTACATGCGCAGGAATGCACACGAGCGTCTGATCTTCCTACCCAGAGACCACGGAAAAATACTAGAAGTCCAAGTCCACGTGAAAAAATCCCAGCCCTTACCTCGGATTGAACCCGGAACCCCCAGCACTCGAGGCGGACACCATGCCTCGAGACCACGAAGCTCCCTAAACCCAGCGCGTGAAACTCAGAGCGAGGGTTATAAGATTAGACGAAGGTCTAATAAGTTAGTATGTGTTTGGCAGCTGGCGCTAAAGGTCGTATCTGATAGACAAGTGAATGTGACATTGTATAATTGAAGACGTGAAGGACATTTAGTTTCACGAGAGGACAGCCAGTCGAATTATGATGACAGCCTAATCAGAAGTGGTAGCCGACAAGTTCCAAGCAGCCGAGGAATCTAACAGCCCTGATCAGAAATGCTTGATAACTTATTGTGTGTATTGCGTGTTTAATAAAACTAGACTGAAAGGTAAAATGTGTTGATGGTAGTAGGCGTCGATTCTGTACTTGATAAATGTCATCATCTCTTGTTGGACCTGCTATCCGACAGTACGCATTGACTGGAGCAGAAAGTTCAAAAACGAATATAAACGGATATCGTCTACTCCTTACCAACAGTGTGCATTCAGAATGTCATCTATGTCTTATAAATGAGAAACCCTTAGAAACCAGTCGGCACACCGAGGAGATAATATCCCAAATTGTTGGCTCACTTAGAGAGAGAATGCCTTGTGACACCATACATCACAAGGCACACACCAACAGATGAGAAGAACGTAGAGTGCATGGTAGACAAAGAGCAAAACAAACGGAAAGAGAACATCAGAAAAACTCTACAACAGCACGATACGCCTATGGTCGATACGGCCAGATTATCAAGATGTAGAACCATTTATCTCTGTCGACAGCAGAAGTATCTCATATTCGTGTGATAGTAACGTTTGTTAACATAAAATATGAGTAAACTGATCACAGTGTACCTGATACGTGTGTGTATATCTTCTGTGACAATTTGAACAACTAGTAAATACGTTTCTTTACAGAACTACCACCACCAGACTACATTCTAGCTTCGGACTGTGGCTGCCACGACGTTTGGGTGGAAATTGATAAACTGAAAGGTTATATAGTTTGGATATAATCGTAAATGTTTGAAACGTGATATTTGTTTTCATGTCGATGATTAGGATTATCTATATCAGCTTCAGGTGCATTTCTGGGATGTTGTAAAAACTGGTTCTTCGTGTGTCCGGTACCTTTTCCCTCTTTATCAGTGTTCGTGACAGAGTTTCGATATCTGGACGACGTCGCTCCCTGAATCCATGATGCTTTCTACGTTGGCTTGTTGTCTGACATTCCCAGGATGTGCTCAGCATAAAGCCGTTTTCTTTGTCTTATCACAATAGACTCCAGTAGATATTAGGGAAGCATTTCTCTGATTTATTCACTTTCTCGATTTGTTAAATTTAACATGGAGTAATTTTTAGGGATTTGTTTCAGACTGAACTTAATTTTTTAATAATGCCTTTGGTGGTTCTCTCTTAAATTGTCGTATGTCAGAAATTAAACTGTGTTGTGACTAAAAATACATAACTTGCTTTTAAAACTATGTTAGCGTTTAGTACTTATTTGAGTAATGCCCTGCCCGGGCAATAAAACTAGCTCTATAAATAAGTAAACTGAACTTTCACTTTACTCTTTTTTGTTACCAAAGCTTAATCTTTTATTCAACTTTTAATAATTTACTTTTCTAAACCTATCTATAGCCCGAATCTAGATTAAAAATTTGGCCAATCAATTGTGCCCCCCTCCCCCATGCTATCGTTATCCATATATAGCAGAATAACGGAATAATGTCATGCAAAGTCAATGGAGAACTTTCCTTGTCAGTGCACACTGTACACATAGATCAATTATACATTGGTTTAATAACTGTATTGTGTTCATTGTTATAGAACTAGTGGGAGACCCAGGTTTTAATTCTCGGTAAGGCTCTGGATTTGTTTCTGTCGGGGGCAAAAAATAAATCTTTAGCTTCACAGTCGTGGCGACAGCACTAGCCTTGCGGCCGTAAATTCTCATGATCAAAGACCCCCCTGCCTACGCCGCAATAAAGTAGTAAAATAAAGGTAGTAATTAGCAGTCATAGAATTGCCAGATTCTATACAGTGATGTTTTCCCAAAATAAGCTGTAGTTGTTATACCAAAAATAATTATAAAATAATTTTCACTGTAATTATTATTGTATTATAAAAAAAAAAAACTGAAATAGATAGTTCTTCTCCAGATTGCTTCCACCACCCAGTTAATTCTGTTGAGAATTATTTAAAAAATAAAAAAAAACTGACCATTCCGGTTAGTATAGTCATTCTGTTATTTGTTAGAGTTTGTGAATCTATATTACATCAACATCACTTTGACAAAATTGGTAAACGGTTTACCCAGCGGAGAGAATAACTTTATCATAGCTAATCCTGTACTACAAGTATAAGCCTGTATAATTATCTGCATAAAATTAGCAAACTCCCAGATATTTGAGGAGTAAGGGTAGATTGAATTATGTAATTTCGATTGATGCCTGAGTTGGCGGTTGTTAACTTGAGAAGTTTGCCTTCAGCATATTGGTGACCCCACCAATGGTTGCAGCAATGAAGCCCATTTCAAATGTCAACGCCACCCAGAGAGAGAGAGAGAGAGAGAGAGAGAGAGAGAGAGAGAGAGAGAGGGGCTAAAAGGTAGATAATAAATGACTTGGAGGACCAAGAGCTGATAAAGTGTGAAAAACATTCTCTGCTTTAAGTTCATTGCAACCTTAGTCTTAAGTGCATGAATCCCCTTTGATATTTTATCACAACAATCTCCACAAACTCCTTGATGGGCAGGCTTCTTTTTGATTCACAGATACCTTGTTTTGCCCTCTCTATTTATGTTTTTAACATCTACCGTGAAATATAACAAATAAAGAATACCCTGTTACTAATTATTTAAATACCAAGTGTTTAAAAGCTCTGACATCTGTTGCAGCTGCATTAGAAGCTAGACAAACAACAGAATCAGTTGAAACAGTGGCATCGGTGCAACCTGAGTTTAACGGTATGTGAAATTTATGTCCTACTGGTAGCACGTTTGGTTGTATTTGACAATATAGGGAGCTCACCATGGGTTGTTACCCTGATTAACAACTTGTCTAGCGTCTATGGCATTAAAATATGTCATAATCAACACTGAAACTGACACACTCACGACAACTCTTACAAAAAAAAAAAAAAACAACATAATAGACTGCTATTTTAATTAAACCAGGATAAACAAGTAAGTAAATAAGTGTGACATTCTTTGTCGACGTTGTCGACAGTTTGGGTGAGAGGAGAGGGTTGAAGCAAAATGCGGATAATAAAGACTGCATTAGAGAATGTCATTTTTCAAATCCTTGACCGTGTTGTGAATAGTTTATAATCGACATCACAGTACACATGTTTGTTGATCTTGCCGCTTCGTAAAGTATTGAGCATCTTCTAGATGGTACCTCTTTCATCGTCAGCTCCTTATTCTGTTCTAATTGATCTGTTCGCTTTTCTGCTTTGTGCGAGTGCCCCAAACGGCATTGAGCACATCTACCTTGCCTTGCACCAATTCCTCACGCTTCCAGTACATCAGCACACTCTGGAGAAAAGATCCAGAGGGAGAGGAATCTTATATCGATGTACGCTTGGACTTTTAAATATGCGCTGTTTTTATTTGATGGTAGGAAGTCTGAATTCTGTGGGGGCAACGGTCTACATGTGTCGTGTTTAAATGTCTTGATTTCCGTGTTTATGTGTTCTATTGTGGCTCTGTGGCTTAGAGGTTAGTGAACGGGTTTCCAATAATCGACGTACCAGATTTCGATTTAGAAGGAGACCAATTGCATGTCTTTCAGACAGTGTTTTAACAGTCACATATGGCCTCACCATGTAATATTTCTAACAACAACAGTGACTTGACATATCGACTGCAGTATGCCGTCATTGCGGACACACAACAAAATAATTGTAATCGTTGAAAAGAACAGGCACACTTCAAATAAAATGACACAAAACGTGTGGGGATTAGGCAATGGTGTCTTTACTGACAAAAAGGATAAAATTGCACAGACTTGCGGCATTAAGTAGATTTACAAGAATTGGTAGATTTGTTTGTTACCTCATGTAGTAGCTGCTATTGTGTCTGATTTTGATTGTACACTCCGGTAATGCTGACCACATTACCCACAGAGTGCTGATAGTCTGTAAAAATATGGGACGCTCTGCCCATATGCCCGAAAGGCGGAAAAAGGGATCTTTACTTTACTTTACTTACTGTATGTAGATCATTTATCTCCGGTGATATGCTAGCTTGATCACCTGCCCGAATAAAGCAGCAAGCTGAAGTAATGGAGAAGTTGTGGGGTAGGTCAATATGACAAGAGACACGTAACACACAGACATAATGCAGCTGCAGAGCTAACTAATAGGTAAATGATTAAGAACTACCGCTTGTCATCACTTGTGACAACAATCATGATCCAATTAGATTCATTCAGATAGGTCAATTACAGCAATAATAAAGATATGTACGCTTCAACTGAAGATAAGAATAAAATACGTTGACTTAAAAAACATTTGACCAGTCATGACAAGTATGTCTTCTTCTTCTTCTTCTTCTTCATCGCGTTCACTGGCTGTAAACTCCTGCGGAAAGTTTTGATTGTTTGTCCACTTCTGGACTCTAGTCCTGTTCCAGAACCTAAGTGTTGCGTGTACATCCGTTTCAAAGGTCTGACTCATTTCCATGCAGACTCTTGGTTTCTTGCCTCTCATACAGATGTACTCCGACTTCGAAGGAAGCTACTAATAAGCCGACTCTTACGACATGCTTTTGGATAGGCAGTGGGTCAATTCTTGTTTTCCCCCTCAATGGGGCTCTGGAACCCACTTAGGAAACAATGTAAATATATACGTTTTTAAAAAGTATTTTAATTTTTTTTTTAGATAACACCTTTTTTTTTATATCTATAGAGAAATGCCGTGTGTCTTTCTCTGCTCGTTTTGCCAAAAGAAATGGCTACGCCATTCGTGATGAGGAGATAGCAATTTTTGATCATGTCATTAGCAACAAGGGTGGAGCCTATGACTCATCTACGGGTGTATTTTCAGCACCTTGCGATGGACAGGTACAGTCTGGCGTTACATCTTCGTATTGTATTACAGTTGTATTAATGCCAATTACAATTATGTGTTTGATAAAAATTCTCATTGTAAAATGATTGCCTATTTGTATAAAATTGCATCATTATCGTCATTGTGTAGCATCATCCTTTTAAAAATTCCGTGTACTCAGTTGCGGAATTCTACCTATTAGGCTATGTCACCAATAGAAAAAATAAAAAAATCCCTGCCTGGAGGAATATTCGAATACATGACCATCTGCATGTTGCCTTTCCGCTACAGTGGCTCCTAGTTTCAGAGATTCTAAAGTGGTTAATTTATTGTAGCGTTTTTTCCCCACGAGAAAATTGATTGTTATCGAAACGTTTAATTAATCTGTTTACAGTTAGACTCGGTATTGTTAAGATTAGCTTCAATGTGGCGTCTTTTAGCCAGTCCTCTAAGTTTTTTATTTTGAAGACATCGTATTCACATCTCATCTCATCTCATCATGAGTATCTAGTGCATTGCGGTGTCAAGGTGAAGTATAATTTACGGAAAAAGAGCCCGTTTGTGTGCTTCGTAAACTGGGATTCACAGGGCCTCTGTAATTCCCCGTGTCCATCGCTTGCATGTTCGACCTCTTTTTCACTTATCGCCTGGTCTGCACATCATTGCTTGCTGCGATATACTGTCTGCTTACATCCGCTTGATATGACCAAACAAATTTAGCTGTTGTCTTCTAATAAAATCCGGTGATGCTGCTACCCCCATTTTCCTTCGGATGTCATTGTTAAAGATCTGATCTCTTCTTGTTATATTGAGAGCCCTTAGTAGGAATCTCATTTCAGTCGCTGTAAAATTATTTTCTGTGTTTGCGTCATTGTCTAGGTCTAGCATTTTAACACAGGGCTGGCACGTAAATTGTGCCATAGAGTGCTCTTTTGGTTTCTGTTGACACTGGTTTGTTTCCTATATCAGTGGCATTTACGTAATGATTTGCTGTCATTAGTTTCATCTTCTGTTTTGCCACTGCTGTCATGCTTCGTAACTATTTGAGGTAGTGCGACTATGCGGATGAGAATCAACCCTTGAGAGGTCACAGAAACCCCTTTTAGCCGTTAGGCCATATCTATGGCTAGGCCATTTCTATGCCCCGGTTATTTTCAATGTCCCCAGCAAAAGCCAGGATGGGGCTTCAAAAAACAACAAATTGCCTCCCACATGAGGACAAATTTATTATATTGTGTAATAGATTTGAAGTTCTTGATTTCTTTCAGAAAGTGTTCTGTAGGCTGGATATTTATTGTTTTGCTACTTTGGCTATGGTCATGACCTCTGTTTTGTTGGCTTAATTTTGATGTTATGTCCTTTGAAAATTTGTTGAAGTAAATTATACGGTCTTACACTTCAGTTTCTGAAGTGGCGAATAGTGACTGGTCGTCCGAAAATAATAGTTATTTGATGAAAATGTTTGGCTTCAGATATTATTTTCCTTGATATATTATAATCCTTGATTTGTTGGTAATTTGTTTACAGATGTTATCAAAGTAAGTTATAAAGAGAAGGGGAGACAGGATCCCATCTTCTGTACTCAGGATTTTATAGTGAAAGCTTCTGAGTGTTCTACGTTTTTTTCTAACACTACAGTCACTGTTGTTTTACACATGCTTACTACATGGTTGTTCACAACGTAACTTTTCAAGATTCCCCATAGTTTGTTCCTGTCTACGCTATCAAATACTTTTTCTTGATCAACGAAGGCTAAATAGAGTGTTTCGTTAAGCTTAGTTGATTTTTCTGTAAGTTGTATGAGAGCAACAACAACAACAACAACCAAAAAAAAAAAAAAAAAAAAATGGCATCTGTACTTTCCATGTTTCTCCAAAATCCTAGCTGCTCTTCACTTAGTTGGGACTCGATTACATGTTATAGTCTTTTCTCTAGAAGTTTGCAGAATATTTTCCATGTGTCACTCGAAAGGGAGATGCAGTCTCCTTTACTGCCTTTATTTTTTTTTGTTTATGGGATGATTGGGGCAATTTCCTAATCTCACGGTGTCTGTTGTTTTAGTCTGTGAAGCAATGATTGTTCCCACTTTTTTGACTGCTCGTCCATTAGACCCGTTAACAAGAAGGATAATAAATTGTTGATATTAATAACTCACTAACCACATTCTTTGGTCACTTTATGAAAACGGGAGAATTGGAGTACATGTTGACCTCGGGAATGAAAGAAAGGAAGAGAAGCAGAAGAAGACCAAGAGAAAAAATACTAGACAGTTTGGAATTATGGCATGATAAAAGTACACGAGACATTAAACCCTGGACAATTCATTATAATCAGCCAACCTATGGCAACAGATGTTTCGTCCTTTTTAGGACGACATTTTTTTTTATTTGAAGCCCCACCCTGGCTTTTGCCAGGGGCCGCAATATAGGCATGTCATAAATATGGCCAATTGAACGCGGCTTCTGTGACCTCTTCACGGCGATCCTCATCCACATGGTGGCACTTTGTGTCATCGGATGTTTATAGCTTGTGTGATGTCCTAGTGGGGTAGAAAGTCAGTCAGTCAGTTAAACTGTGGACAGAAACGACAACCAAGACCACGTGGCATGTACAGTAAGAAAGAGAATAATTACACATAATGCGTTTTCAGAAATAGAAAAATAGAAAAAAAAAATTGAAGCCCTTCGAGTAACAATGAGCAAAACACATCTGTAGTTGGTAACATTAAAGATGAATGGAGTAAATATAAAGCCCCTATGTTTTATTGCAGAGGAATTAGGTGGAAAACGGAAGATTGGTGGAAACAGACGGCGTTACAATAAATATTTCCCCCTGTTGGTGCGAAAAAGTAAAAGAAGCAGTTAAAAAGAAAAACGCCTATATAAACAGCAGATAATATCAAAGGGAACAGAAGATCATATAAACTATAGACTGCAGCGGGGAGAAACTATCCGGAAGATCAGGAATCAAGTAAGCAAAACAAGAATCAAAGCAACGTTTCGGAGAGTCATTGATCTGACAGGAAGGCTATTAAATAGATCCACTAGAGGTAGCAGAAAGATGGAGGAAATACTTCAGTGAGCTCACTAGCCCCTTAGGGGGTAGCTATGGAAAAAAAAAAAAAAAAAAACGCAAGACCACACAGCAGCAGTGTTGAAACCAGATATACTAATTGATCATCATGATCATCATCATAAAGCACTTTTACTATAGGCAACGAACGGATGAATATTTGCGATCCAGTGTCTTGTGGTTGGATTGTCATACCGTAAAGGTGCAATGTGTCTTTAATTTTGTTCGTCCATGTTTTTGTGTGGCCGTCTTCTTGATCTGGTAACTGATCTTCTGAGATGTAGTGTCTGTGATGATATTTGATGTTGCTGCATTCTAACGAGATGGCCAAACCGCTTGATCAGCTGTTTCTCAATGAATCTAGTACAAGGGGTCGTTCCAACGATCTGTCTGATAGCATCATTGTTCGCTTGATCTCGGATAGTTAGGCTGGCGGCTTTTCTAAGGCATTTAATCTCGCAGATTTTGCGTACATGGGCTCTAGATTGTGTCCATGCTTGACAATGGTAGTTTAATTAAATGAATTTGCTGTTTATAATCGTCTCTTTACACTCATGGTGATATTTGGATGGTTTAATAATGATAATAATAATAATAATAATTTATAAAGTAGAAAAAAGTCCTTAAGTAGTCTCACAAATATAAATCACTAGGTGCTGATAATTTGCCAACAGAAATAATCAAAGTAGCAGGGACAAGCAACATCAGGTGGCTTCGCAAAATGTTTAATGCAGCATTGTTAGAACAGACTGCTCCAGTTGACTGGCAAAATGCAGTAGTTATAACACGGTGGAAGAACAAAGCTAGCAAGCAAGAAGCAGTCACTACAGATGTATTTCTCTTATTAGTAATGTTGAACAAATGTTTGCCAAGTTTATTGAAACAAGGCTGAGACAAGTAATAGAACAACAGTTTACAGAAGAACATATGACAAATAGGAGAAATAGAAGCTGCGCAGATGTAATCTTTACACTTAAACAGTTAATATAAAAGAACTTAGAATACGATTAGAATTTATTTGTGGCATTCATCGACTAGGAGAATGCATTCAATAGAGTCAATAGAAAAATATTATCGACAGTAATAGCTCGATATAGAGTGGCCAAACACGTCATCAGAGAGTGCAAAAGTTTATATAGGAATTGTAGAAGCACGGTTAAAATCAATCAATTAACATATAAACCATTCACTATAACATATGGCGTAAGACAGGGATGTGTCTTATCACCCATGATGGTTTATCACCTACGTCGACAGTAAATGCAAGGATGCCCAGCCAGGAAGTAAATTTATAAATAACGTCATAAATTAACTTTTGCTGATGACCATATTTGATAGCAGATGTAGTCATAAAATTGCAAAAACATATAACATCCATGAATGGCGATTGTAAAACAAATAACATAATAATCAACATTGAAAACACGAAGTAATATCAATAGGAAGAAATAAACGGAACCGAATATGGTAAATGAGATGAAGAAATTAACATCCTATGCAGCAAACCAAATCAAGAATTGTAATAGCTAGCGCCGCCACAAATCCCCCCTCTTCCTACTCGCATTCTCTCTTAAAACAAGAGGCAATCCCAATCAATACAAAGAAATATCTTACATAAAGCATATTCATTCGAAACCCCGTGCTACCAATGCCAGACATGGTCACTCACAATAAACCAGAAAAGAAAGTTAGTAACAATAGAAATGAGTTGTCTGAGAAGTGCTGCATGATGACCAGAAAAGATAAAAACAGAAATGAGGTCATAACAGAGGATGTCGGCTCAGAACCAATTCTAAATTACATACAAAGACAACAGATCAAATTGTTTGCACTTAAGAAAATGCCTCGAGACGCCATGCCACTTCATACATTTACGAAAAGGGGAAACAGATAGTGTCCATATTTGGCACTGGTAGCCTAATTTTGGAATGAATATGCTATTTATAATCGGTAGACCAAGAACACAATAGAAAGATAACAAGAGAAACTCTACAAACATTATGATGTGTCTGTGGTGGGGGAGACTGGAAAAGCAAGAAGCGTATATCTCCCTAGATACCCGAAGCGGTAAAAGATGAAGGAAACAAGAAGACATTGATAATGTCCAAGTCTGGCGCTTGTAGTGCAGTGTTGGTATGAATATGCTGTTAATAATTACAAGTTGGAAAATTGACTAAATAATGTTAATTATTAATGTTTGTCGCATGGAGATATCAAGTGAACTCGATAGTTCCAAAGTAGCTGATGACTGCAGAAATAAATACGTAGTCAGGCATATGGGGGTTGAACTGACAACACAAGAGAACTGAAAAATCACTAGGAATAACATTGTTTACAACACCTACATGGGGAAAACGTGTTCAGGAAACCATCTTATAACCTGTAAACTCGTGAGGATTTGATTGGTACTGAATAAGACGAAGATTCTGTCAACTGAACTTTTTCAAACACACATAAATGCACAATTATATATTTTTAAATATGTGTTAATAAGTTTTTTTTTTCCCCCCAGTACTTTGTCACTGCTTCACTTCGTTCCCATCAAGCTATGGACAGCGGATATGTTGAAGGCGTTATTGCGGTCGACAAAGAGCCAAAGGTATGGGTTTAGTGTGTATTTCAGCTGAAGAGTAGGAGATGGTAGGCTATTGACAAGCGACAACTAATGAAAGACATTGTATACAGACATTACTTTGTCCGTTAGTTCACAGTATGCTATTATATGAAATGTTCAGTGTTTTAGTTACACCTGTCGAGTAACTATAGGACACGTTTAATTTTTCAGTCACATCTGTTGAGTAAATCAGCTTCGGGACAATAGGGAAAGGAAAATTCTCCCAGTAACAGTAAATATATATGATTGTAGAATTCAATTTTTTAGTCACATCTGGCGAATAAATCAGCTTCGGGACAATAGTGGAAGGAAAATTCTCCCAGTAACTGTAAATATATACAATATCAATTTGTAAATTTACAATGAATCTAATTGTATAATATATTATATACGTTTCAGTTTATAAATTTAACTCAAAAAGACGAAACGAATACGACCGTACAATTAAAGTAACTGAATTTCGTCCTATTAAGGTGTTCTAGTAATGTAGTGCTTTCCCATGATTTCATGAATCATTTCCCTCCAGTTCAGATGATGTAGTCGATGTTATATCCGGATTAATCTAAGTCAACACAAATAGTTGCATCAAGAATGTAATCAACATTAACTGATGCAATACGATTTGGGATAAAGACACACATGAAATAAATTGGGTGGATTTAAAGTGTCGATCTGTAGCACTGAAAGTAACAATAGACTTGTGAAATAAAAAAAAAAAAAAAAAAAAACATAATTAAAAACACAGTAAGATGGAATTATATACACACATATACACCCCCCCCCCCCACTCCCACTTTTTTTGGTCTTTAATAAAAAAAAAAGGGGGGGGGGGATGCATAAAAGTTGACACACAAATTATGAATTTTCAATATATTTGTTGAAATTTTTTTTTTTTTTAAAGTTGCGTATCCTTTAAAAGACATTGCAGAATCAACCAGAGCATTGTTGGCTAGTTTGTGATTTTACTAGACTATGCTACGTTCAGAAGTTAGGTTTTGCTACTCAACGGCCCAAAATCACTGGAAATACTGTATACTATGTTAACAAATTACTAGACTCGTAGCAACACTGGTTGTTTGAAATCGAATTACGGTGTGAAATAATAGTGGGGTACAGTGAAATAATTAGCAGATGAATAGAAAACTTATGGAAACTGCATGATGATCATATACCAGAAGTAGATTTGCAGGATATAAGTGAAGGCCCATCATCACTGGCTGCAGAAGTTAAGGACCCATTTGATTACACGAAGAAAGGAAAGGCACATGGACCAGACAACGTCACATTGGAAGAAACTGAAGCCTTGGGACATTTTGAAATGGAAATTATAACAAGACTGTGAAATGACATCTATGATAGTGGGTACATTCCTATAGATCTATTAAATCCATTTTTATAAGTGAAAAAAAAAAAAAATAAATAAACAACTAGGTTCTTTGAAATGGGTGACCATATCAAACTAAGCATTGCAAGTCATAAGATGAAGTTGTTACTGAGAAACATTCTGAATAGAATAAAAAAAAAAAAGATTAAACCACAAATTAGTGAAGAATATTGTGGCTTTCTGGAAGGAAAAGTTATTGCCAAATACATCATCAGGACTCTGTCGGAAGGAGCTGAAGAAATTAAAACAGATCTTGACTCATGTTTCACCGATCGTAAGAAAGAATTTAATTGTGTGAAACATGAGGAAATAATCAACCTACATTACCAATTAAACATTCATGGAAAAGATATACGAATAATAAAGATCATGTACTGACAGCAAGCAACAGCTTTAGAAATTGACAACCATTTTGGGAACATTTCAGAGTATAGAGAGGGACGTACGATAAGAATGTGTACTGTCATCTGACCTGTTTAACTATACTGTGAACATATAATCAGATCTATCATAGATATGCCATTAAGTGTGGTTGGTGGTCAAACATAAAGAGCCTACGTTATGCTGATAACACAGTCTTGATCGCAACAAGTCATTAAAAACTAAGATAATGTATAGGAAAGATGGTGGTAGAAAGCGATAAATTCAGCCTCAGATCGAATAATTGGAAGAAAGATGTAATGGCAATACTGTATCTAAGAAAAGAACCACGTCTAAATGTATAATACAAGTTAAAAGCGTGAAATTCACCTATATCCTCACCCCAATCCACAAAAATGTGTGGTCAGACATTGAATTACCCACAATGGGATGTGTTTGGGAACTAAGGGTACCCGTCAGCTTTGTATTGTCCTTCTCCTCAGTGTTAAGCCCTTTCAGGATGTCACTCCTCTAAGAGCAACATGTGCGTGACCGCCTGCAAAGAGATCGTGTCCTAGACACATTGCTGCAAAATCTACAATCTCTCTTGCATCTTGTGGACTGTTGTAGCTCATGTTAAAACTGTGTGAAGCATCCTTGTATCAACAATCATTTCTGTATTTACCAGGATGCCGTTTTCACAATGAAGGGTGGCTGCAATAGATCTCCAAAATTATCTATCTCATGGCTTGGCTGGACCCTCTTAAACATTACATCCCTCACTTGTTGTTTGTCTTCCCAAACGCATCGTTGTCTACCTCTTGCACTCCATCTTTCCCTCCAATCTAGTTTGTAAAAGAGTAATATGTCTTACCAGTCGCATTCTCTCCATAACCTCAGTATTTAACTGTTTTTGTCTCCACGAAATACGAGTCTTCTGCGTATTCATATTTTCAGAAATTCAGTTCGATTATCTAGTTCCCCTGTTCATTGTCCAAGATTTTTGCACTATGCAGCAGGTTTTAATGGACATGAAATGTGATAGTTCTCATACTGTTTGTCTTTCTAAGTGTTAATTATTTTCGCAACTAATTGAAGATAATGTTAGCCGCTTCTTTTCTCTTCTTCTTCGTAAGGTTCACCGGCTGTGAACACCAGCAAAAGGTTCTGATAGTCGCTGGCTTTTGGTTTTTGGTCTTGCTCTAGAATTTGAGTGTTGCGTTGTTGTGTTTACGGATCTCGCCTTTTTGCATGCATAATTTTGGCTCTGCACCTCTCAGGAAGATGCATTACGACTTGGAAGAAATACTTACAATTTGTCACCTCTTACGAAATGCTTAATAGGCAGCAATGTGACGCGTAGGTCATATTTAGGAACCCCGGGTAAGGCTTTGAATTTAAAAAAAAAATTCGTTCCTTTTTAGGACGGCGCTTATTTTGTACGTTATTTTCAGTCATCTTTGTTTTATTATTCTGTAGATCAAATCTACAGTAAATTTTACATATTTTACATGTGAATGCTATTAAAGAGCTTCTATATCGACATGGAATGACAACATCCATTTTTGCCCATCAAGCAGTGGATCGCAAACTGTGCTCACCTTAACGGTAGAAGTGGAAATTGATGATGATGACGACAATGATACATAGGAAACAATAAGTAATGAAGACTTTTTTGTGGGGTGGGGGGAGAGGGGGGGGGGGATGTTGTAATATTCACGAACAATAATTGAGTGCCATCAATTAGGTCTACATATACACAAATGTGTGCTCCAAAGCTTCTCAGCCCATAGTGTACATGTCATGTCGATATTTCGGTGGTAAATTTATACATTTTCTCTTTTGAGGAAAGATTTATTTTCCTTTAAAAATATTCTTTATTCATTGACTATATAGAGCACAACGCATCAGATGTGATCACTAAAACATTTTGTTTGAGCAGAATATTTTTTTACTACATTGGCTTGTCATGAGCAAAGTCTGTGTGTTCAAAATGTCAGCCTGATAACTAAGCAATAAATAGTTTAAAAATCGAACGCCAAATTTCTACACAAATAACAAACATACAAAATCTAAATTATTAAAAAGTTTTTTAAAAGAAAAAGTTATATCTAGTCATCCCCTTGTGGAATATAGTTTTTCGTTTTTTAAATATGACCTAGTGGCTGAACGCGGTTTCCGGGACCTCTTCACGGGTGATCCTCATCCACATGGTGGCACTTTGAGTCATCTGGTGTTTACCGCTTGTCTGATGTCCTAGTGGGATAAAAGAAAGATAGGCAGATAGAAAAAGTGCCACAATACAGCTATGCAGAAAATTAGAATTTCACATATTTCAAGTCCCAAAAGTATTTAACTAACACAAATACTTTGTCAACACAAATATTCAGGTAAACAAATGTTCTTAAACGTCAAGCAAAGATGGACGAAACAAAAGCTTTTATGTAAGGGTACCTTAGGGTGATGCAGGACATAATGCAGGTGTTGAGGTGGACTCATGGTAACAAAATGCCATGGGTTGTGTTGTGAGGAGAGGGCATGTCAGGATGGGAATGAGAGTGAAGGAAGAAATGATTGCGGAACAGATGAGAGCTGAGCGTCTGAGAAGAAAAGGATTAAACACAAATGTTGACAACAATGGTCCTGAAATCCCATGCAATCATTGTGGAAGACTTTTCTTGACACGGGCGAGTCTTGCTAGTCACACTCGCCATCGCCATGGGCTGTGCGTCCCATGGCTCGTCATAGCGCAGTTTAACACTATCGTCTGTAAAGACGGATAACCAGTTAATCCTTAAGCATGCATGGGAATGCCCAGTGCGCAGTGATGGTCATTGTGATAACAAGCCATAATATTTATTCTGTAGTATTAACAGCCTATTGCAATAAATCAGCAACAACGTATAGTGAGCATTCTGAGAATCTTTATTATGCTTATGACACGATGGGTATTACAAAGTGTTTTGTGACTACTAAAAAGGTATGCATGGGATTTCAGCCGGACGCTATAGTTAATTACGAAAAAGTAAAGGTATTGGAATAACCAAGACAAAGAAAACATACCACCATATCCCAAATTAAAAGTATTTCTTCTCCTTTTACTTCTTATTCAGTATTCCGAGCTCTTGAGGTTCATTGCTGAAGTATCATCCGCCTCCATTCATCTCTCTAGTTGGTCTTTTCTTTCCAGTGCTTGCAGGTCTGTCTGGACATTATCTCCATAGTCTTCTTAGTCTGCTTCGTGGTCTACGACCATTCATTTCCGATGCGTAGACAGTTTTCACTTTTCTGTCATTTGACGTTCTCTCAATTTGCCCCAACCATTTCAGTCTATTAGCTCTCATGATGCCAGTCATCAATAGTGATTTAAAGAAATTATAAATGTTGTTGTTGCTTCTCACTCTCCATCCCCCGCTATTTGCATTTTTGATGGGTCCAAAGATTCTTCATAAGACTGTTTTCGAAAACCTGTAATAATGCTTCATCTCTTCTAGTTGTGCTCCAAGTTTCTGAGCTCTGTAAAACGACTGGTTTTTTCAGCGTTTTATATATTAAAAGTATTTAACTAACACAAATACTTTGTCAATTTAAAAAAGCACAACAACGTAGGTTTGGAACTAACAGTTATAGAATCCATTTTTGTTGGCAGAAAAGACACAAGTAGACACGATGAAAACACAACATTAAGCGTGAATATACATAAAGCAAAGAAAAATAAAATCAAGGTATGATAAGATTTCGACACGGCTTTGAAAAGAATGATATTTGAATGATTTACTAAATGACGAATATTAGCATCGTCTGAATAGTTCTTCTAGAGGATTCCTGTATCATTAATAAGCCACTCAAGTCTCACTCTGTTTTACATACTTTTTAAAGACAAAAACATTACTAAACTTACAGCAACATGAATATGTGATTTTTTTATTTGTTTGTTTTGCTTTTTTGTTAGGCGAGGACTTCTGTCTTCATTGACGCCCCAGTGGATAATATCCAGAGTGCTACGAATGGAGTAGTCCTTACTCTCAGATCAGGACAGAAGGTGGCTGTGGTTGTCAAGACAACCAGTTCTGGAGAAATTATTGGAGAAGATTATTCTGTGTTTTCAGGTTTCTTCCTGTTTCCTTAAGTGTGTGTGTATAACCAGCAGCTATTTTGTGACTTTCTATTATCATTAGCTGCTTGTCTGTAAGACAGTCGTTGTAAAATGTGCTTAATCTGTCCATCTGTCTCTTCACGCTTCATTATTTTATCCATAATATAATAGTTGTGTGCTGACTCCTTCCAAATAAAAAATAATAGCTTGTTCACTAACAACTGTGTTCTTATTTCGTCTCTGCTCTGAGGGGACGTTGTCAATACATATTCTGAGACAATTAGTTGAGACTTAATGTTTATTTTTACACGCATACGTATGCGTGTTAATGTATATCATTGTAAGTAAATACATATACTTACTAGCAGAAAAATGCGAAAGAACGGTTTTACCTGTAACTGTGGATAACACAATACCAGGCTTAAAACATATGATTACATTTCTTCTTCGCAAACAATCGTTCTTAACACAGATGAATCATATTGGCGGCATAGGTATGTGTGTTCTTCTAGTTCGAGCAAAACAGATATGATTGGCGAATGTGGGACTGTTTATTTTTACATAAGCAAATGACTCTGTTTTCCTCCTCTCTATGATCACGGAATAGTGATATGATATGAAGTGCTTTTTTGATGTAGAGCGAAACATAAACACCAAGCAAAAAAAAAAAAAAAAAAAGAAAATTGAAAAAAAAAAATTCACATAACATCTAAAAGTTAAAAAGATAGACCCCAAACTGATGCTATATATTTACGGGCTTTATGATCTCTAATTTTCCCTGTTTCTTATCTTAATTGTACATTTTCTGCGACTGCTGTATTTCAATATCTTTATGTTACCATACACTTGTATCTGTGTCTACCTCTTAATGCCCTTGCCATTTCCGTCTGGTGTAGTTGTTTAAAAAAAAGTATTATATTTTAATGTGACTATTATTTTTAAATAGTCTTTCCTTTTATTTATTTTGGCAATTCTCTTTTCATTCGTAGTCTTTCCAAAACCTCTCTTTTTGGATTGGTTCTTTTCCTCCAAAATAGGACCTATCATTTTATATATCCATACTTCCAGAGACCGAACTCAATCTTCTGATTGCCTGTTCATTATCAAGTTTCTACATCACACAGGAGTATTGAATTTTAATAAAAATCTGACGATTCTCATATTTAATTTGTTTACCTCTTTTGTTGTGATTCCATTGCTAACTTCATAGTGTTACATGCTGAAGTCCCGGTGTCTTCCAAGATGGGCAATCGTGTTCTCTATTATGTCCCGAATACGTCTCACTGTGCCACACACCTGCTGTTTTGCTTATCAAACCGTCTAATTTCACAGAGTATCATGGTTCTCCGATGCTGTTTTTAGTATATGTATTGGGCAGGCTATACTAGGGTGGACGGTTACTTCCTGCTCCATAACAACTTTAACAAACTGATTTTTAAATTTCATTAAATAAGAATTGTCGTTGGAGCTACGGAGGATGTGCTCTGTGCTTGACTTTGTCTTCAACAAGCAGCGAAGAGAGAGTGTAGTGTGTTTCTGATATATAAATGGAGTTGGTGCTAAATTATTATTATTATTATATTATCATTACTTTACAATCTTTCCGCATAACTTGTCTTCCTTCGCCTCATTTGCTTAGTATTGCCCGCAGATCCGTTCCAAAAAAGCGGGTAGACAAATCATTCGTCACAGTCTTTAATGCTATTTCTTTTTGGCTTAAACATTCTTTCTCTTCTGTAGAATGAAAGTGCACGCTTCTGTCAGCCAGCTACTGAAAGATGTGGTTTTCACGTGAAGTGCTTTTCGGTTAGCTCAGGTGGTTTGTTTTTTGAGCTGCACATTAAGGAGATGATTGCTGTTTGTGTCAGTACGGTTCTAGTGGCAGTCTGTTGGTGTACTCCGTTTCCTTTATTGAGTGTCACATACCGCTCGTGTCGCGTGCCTGATTTAAGGATTGCTTCTTAAGAACAAACAGCACTCTTAAATAATTTTGTTGAGGCGTCGGCTTGTATTGGTCTAAGGAAGATCCCGTGGCCAATATAGGCTCAACTTATTTCAGGGGTAGGGCAACTCAAGCTCTGGCACTACAGAATATCTATTATTCCTAGGCACACTTGGCTGGACACCCCCACTACTATAAAAAGATAGCCCCAGGCTATGATAGTATACTATCATAGCCATGTTAACACAGATTACACTTACTAATCACACAAACATAAAAGCTAGACAGTTAGAATGGTGAAACAGGGACACCCAAGTCAGCCATGAAAATTTCTGAATGGATTTAATAATTGCAACACACACACACACACACACACACACACACACACACACACACACACACACACATATATATATATATATATATATATATATATATATATATATATATATATATATATAAATAAAGACAATCAAGATGGTTTCCAGTGAGTGGATTTCAGGACTTAACGTCACAGCGATGATATTGAAACAGCCAGACACAGTTCAGAGAGTACATAAATCATCATAGTGCATCATAGGTCATTCATTCATTCAGTAGCATGTCCCTCGCGGAACCTCGCTGCCATAACAACCCTCCGGAAAACCTTCCTATCATGAGCAAGATGTCCTGCGACTGATACACCCATCTGGAGATCATCTGCCACATCCTGCACCCATCTTCTCCTTGGCCTTCCTCTTCCTCTCTTCCCAGGCATATACCCCTCCATTATTGTTCTCTCTAGACCTCCATGACGTTTCAAGTGACCAAAATATTTCAATTTTCTTTGTTTTATTGTCTTTACTAGCCAACCCTCTTCAATATTCAGCTCTTGAAGTATGGATGCATTTGTTCTTTTCTTTACCCCAAGATATTCTTAGAACCTGTCTGTAACATTTATATTCAAATGCATTTATGCGCTGTTCCGCTTGTTTAGTAAGTGTCCAGGTCTCACAGGCGTATGTTGCAATGGGAAAGATGCATGCTCTTAAAAATCTGACGTTTGTAATTCTATCTGTACAATTCCATAATTTATTCAGTTGTTTTAGTCTTTGAAGAGCAATTGATAGTCGCCGTTTAATTTCTTTCATTGTGTCACCATTGTTGGTAACCAGTGACCCAAGATATTCGAAATTTTCCACCACTTCCAATCTTTCCTCATTAACATATATTTCCTTCTCCATGGCAGTTTTGTTTGTATGCATTATCTTTGTTTTTGCTGTGTTCAGAAATAAGTTATGATTTTCACTATTTCTTTGGAGTGAGGTTAATAGTTTTCTAAACCATTTTGTGATGTTGATAGTAATACTGTATCATCAGCATAACGAATTTCTGGTATTTCATAACCCATAACAATCATGAAAGCATCATAGGTAGCCATGTAAATAGAGCATGTTGTATGTCATCTCAGATGTTACTTATCCAATTTGGTAGGTCACTGACCCCTCAGTCCATGGTGATTTGAACCGTCTGACTCAATAGATTGCTTTTCCTCTGGTTGATCTAGTAAACATTGATCGTCTTACATATGAGGACAAAGGAACTGCGCTGGAGCCCAACAAAGCTCATGAAGAAGGCTTCCTTGGATTGATGACACAGGTGACCTGCAATACTGTCTCTCAGCCACTGGAACTCACACACAAGCTCCTGCCATGTTGAAGTTGTGGCAACAATAGGTAGGATTTTGGGTAGGTTTGGTGATAGGGATGGTATAGGTTGGTGATTGTTGGCTGGACTGTGACTTGTTTGCCTGACCTCTAAGGAGGTATCATCCCAAGCTTAGGAATCCTTCAAAGATTAAACTGGTATTTTGAATGCGCCAAAGTTTAATTAGAGCATTGAAATGTGTCTCGACACCTCAGAGGTCTGGCAAAGAATGCCCGCCCCAGATTCCGCTTGGCGTCTCTAGAAAAGAAGTCCTGTATTCGTGCCCAAGGAGTAAAAAGGCTTACAGGAATTTCTCAATATTCGTCAAGAAATTATCTATCCCACAGTTGCAAGTTTTAAAATGTAGACTTCTCAAAACAACTAGATGGTCTAGAAATGTTTATTCCACCAGATAGAAGTATATATCAATATGAGGGACTATATACCCCCCTCCCCCCTCCCCGGACGGGTTTAAATTTGAAATGTGACCTGCCCGCTAGGAATGTCAACGTCACGACTAGTCCAAAGTGTAGGGTTGGTTGGCTGTTCACTCAGCGACATTGAGCTTTCAAGTTAGTTTATGTTGTGTTTAGTACTTTTCTAAATCCCAATGGCTGATTTTCTTAACTCCACATATTAAAGATTTTTTTTTATATATCTCTAGCTTCAGTTTCCTCAATCTGATTATTTGTCAAACATTGGCATTCGCATAAAATAAACTAGCTGCGAAAGGTAAATTTTACGGTTAGAAATTGTATACAAGCATGACTGTTACACGCCTCTCCATTTGATCTCGGTGCTACAGTCCGTTTACACTCTTGAAAGATCTACATAAGATGACTATGTACAGTATGATCATATTGGCATGTAGTGAAGATGCTGTCTTATGCACAAACAATACGAGAAATAAAGGAATTTACGTTTTTTACAAGCATAGGACTTTGCACCACAGGTGAGCTAGAACTCTGTGCTGGCTGCTGAAGATCAGGACGGAAGTCTGTGGCAATGTCAAAACTTCTGTGATGTGGGTTTCTACCTTAGTTCAGCTCAACTTATAAAGAATCATACAGGCATACACAAAGACACAAAGACATATATATATATATATATATATATATATATATATATATATATATATATATATATATATATATATATATATATATATATATATATATATATATATATATATATATATATATATATATACGCCGACACGTATGGCTTCCAGGGTCAAAATAATACTGATGTTGTTGTTTTTTTTCGAACCTTTCAAATACACCTGTGATAATTTTCTATCGACAGAAAAATCTTTATCAAGGAGCACAACAACAAGAAGCCTCAACCTAGGACAATGATGTTAATAGCTGAAGCTAAAAAAAAAAAAAAAAATATGAAAAAAAAA